ATTACTAAAAAATTTATTAATATCCTCAACAAGATATATAAAATTTTTTAAGTAATAATAATAATAATAATAATAATAAAGCGTCGAATAATTCATACTGTATTACAAATAGGATCAGCCATTGTCAATGAAAGTCCAATGCGTTGGTATAATATTTAGTGGATTATCAGTGGTATTCATGTATACATGGCCAGCAGAACATTTGATTCATATAGTAAGTTTAATTATCACAGAAAAAATTGCTACATTCTGATTAATTCAATTACAATAAATATCAACATTATTACCCAATATTATTTCTAGAGTGATGAGATTGGACAGGCAGTCTTTGATACAGAATGGTATCAACAACCAGTTGCTTTAAGGAAGACTCTACAGATAATTATGTTAAGAGCTCAAAAACCAATAATTATCTCAGTACCATGTGTTATGCCCGCATTATCTTTAAAATACTATGCATCGGTAAGGAACTAAATTGTAGTATGCTGTGACATGCATAGCAATCACTAATATATAATTTGTTATTGTATATATAAAATCACAATACATAAAAGCACTTCATTGTATGACACAAATATTACTAATATAAAAATTAGAGATAAGTTGAATATAAGTTGAATATACATTCATATCATATAATTAATACACGGCAAATATTATAATGCCAATTTAAAATTGTTGAAATATATTGTTTTAATTGAAATATTTCATTATATAAAAATATTACAAATGTGTTCCAGTATTTGTCGACTATATTTTCCTATTTCACAACGCTACGAGTAACCATGCAAAATGTTTGAGATAGAATGAGCAAAAACATGTGCTGCTGATAAAATTGGAAAATATAGCAACTATATTAAATAGCTAAAAATCAATGTTTATTTTATTGTTACGCTGATTATAATTAGATGACATAGATGACAATAAAATCGAAAAACTCGTTAAAATTTTATTTAATAATGTATAATTACTTAAAAGTTATTCACACTTATTTTCTTATCTTTTAGTCTTTTCTTATCATTTTGTTCCTTTATATAAAAAAAAAACAATTAAACATAAAATAAAAAAATTAGTACATTAGTTTATGATTGCACTTATAAACATAAAAATATCAATCAGTTCTATTGGGTTATCCGGAAAGTTCGTGCTGAACTAACCTATATACTTTAAGAAATGTACACTAAAATTTAAATCTTCTGCGTTTCAATTTTCCTTCAACATCGGCACGAATTTTCCGGACAACTCAAATATTAACTTCAAATCTAGATGAGAATACGTGAACTAAATAAGGAAGAACTTCTTATCGTGACCACTGTCAAAGAATACTAGCAAATATTAAATTTAAATATTTTGTTCTGAATGCAGCGATATTAAGTATACTTTTAGTATGCATCCTTTATTAAATACTTATTGTAATACCATCTACTAAAGATAACAAAACTAATCATTGCCATTTGCTGGACGCCTCTATACAAGTTCCTCTGAAGATAACGCTACGCGCATTGTAATATGACTGATTGCAAGTAAGAAATACATAATATCTATAACAATATGTCAATTTTTGATAAACCATTCTCAATTTATTTTATTCAATTCCAGAAGAATTCAAGAGAACATTCAAGAGAAAATAATAAGTTAAATATTTACTTTTTAATATCATTGAGTAACATTATATACTATTCTACAAATAACTTTTTTATCATTTCTGTTTATCCGGAGCAAGATGGTACCTTCACATATAAAATTTTATATTATATACTTCTAAAAATTATATATGTAATTTCTTCAGTCATCGATTTTATTCATTTATTCATAGCATAGGTATAAACTATATACCATAAAAAATCGAATTAATCTTCTGAGGACTGGCATGCTTTTGATCGACTTTTTTATTTTAGAACTTTTTTGTCAATGTTATGTGATTGAATGATAAAAAAGATGGCGTCACTATCGAATCTCTAAAGGGGCCTCTGATCCTCCAAAAGTGAAACTTCAGTATACTTGATTTCGGAAATAGAGTATATAATTTCGAGTGAGCAGAACCATACCAAAAAAAGTTTCACCAACAGTACGTAGACAGATACATGACGTGTTACGCAAACTCCACAGAGGCAGTTTTTCTTGGTATATATAAAATACATATGTACTACTGACTGTGCTACTAATAGCAGCAGATCAGATCTTTCCAACTTTAGATGTAAGATATTCTTTCGACATGGAACATGAAACAGTGAAAACTATTATATTTTTGCATCATTTCGTCACAGTGCTTTTTCATCATTTGCCTCTGCAATTTTCTTCTTTTCATGCGCTTCATATGTCAGAATGAACCCTATGATATCATCGTATATATATATCATAAAGAAATTATTGAAATAATAGGAAAATGCATTTTATAATTTATCAAAGTTAATAATTATCATTCTCTAATAAAGAAATAATTTTCATATGATATATTTTTTTTTAAGACATCTAACACTTTACATACATATTTTATGTGTTTCATGTCAAAGTTATTTCATATATAATATATATATATTCTTATTTTTCGTAAAACAAAATTATGTTTTTTATTATGTTAGGTTAATTGTTTTTTTAATTCCTAATTAAAATTAATTTGACATAAAGTTAATTTAATCATAAAGATGCAGCATATAACAATTTACATCTTTTTCATTATAATTATATTTAATATCAACTAAATAAATACTATACAGTTAATTTTTTTGTATTATTTCAAAATTATATGAAAGTCTTTATTTAATATAGATATATAGTGAAGATCATTGTGTGTAATAATTGTAATAAAAAAGTATTATTTTTAATACACACAGATATTTTTTTAAATACGACACAAGATAAAATATTTTAGGATTAATAAAATTTACATTATTAATTTTACACGCATTTTGCTTCTAAATTTTCTATTTCACTTATTATATAACACTTATTATATAACACGTGTTATATAAGATATAATTATTTCAACATTTAGTCAATAAATTTCAAAAAAACGCAAAAAATACTGAAAAATTATACTTACGTTACATTCATTTATATTTTAAAACAAAATATACTTTTCTCCGAGAGTAATGCGTGCGGAACTATAATGTGGCAGAAATTATGAAAGAGAAATAGAAATAATGAAATAGGAGGGATATATACGTTTAACAAAAAAATCAACGTATAAATCAATGTATATATCCCTTCTGTTTTATTATTTTCTTTCCTCTCTCATAATTTCTGCCACATTATAGTTCCGCACGCATCGCTCTGCCGAAGAAAACTTACATTTTGCTTTAAAATATAAATGAATGTAATGTAGGTATAATTTAAGTGTTTAATATCACGCGATTTTTCTTTCCTCGAATTCTTGAGGTACGTTATTTAAAACACTTTAGTCGAGTTAGAATTGTAATAAAATTCGTTATTTTCTATCTCTAATACACTACGACATTATTAGTATTATTATGACAGAAACATTGACGCTAGAAAAAATTATTGCCTTCTTAAAAGTAGATCTGACGTTTGCATGTTGTTGGCCACTTCCAATGAAGGCCACAAAATTTCAAAAAATTCGTGACAAGATATTTCGACTTTTATGTTGCTTAAATGGCATCATAATGTCAATATCATTAATATATACATTAAGCAAAAAGTATGATAATATGATTCTTGCGATGAAAGTGAGCTGTGAACTGAGCGCTTCTTGGCAAATTCCAATACAAATTACATTATTCACACTTCAAAGTGACCGTTTGCAAGTAAGAAACACAATGTGCTTTTGAATTTATTGTAATTTCAATTTATTTGTATCATAGATAAAAATCATATTAATATACAAGAATTAAATTTAAATTTATGTAATGTAGAAATTTAAATTTGTGCGATATGACTTACAAATTTTTCAATTATAATTGTGACAGTTTCTAATAAAATTAAAAAATTGATTTAAATAAGATTTTTTTTTATTTCAATCTTTT